TTTGTAGGTCAGACTGGCCATTTTGAAATAAAGGCCTAAATAAATATTAATTCATAATTTGTTGTTATTAAATATTTATTGGAAGTGATTTGTTAATGTGTCCTGTTAAATATTAAATGCTCCTGAAGGCATTATTTGTCATAATAATAAGAAATGATAATTCTTATTAATCTTGTACTGAATGTATTTAAGTATGAATATATGTAAGTGTAACTGTCTAAATTAACATTTCTTTGTGAGTAAAATTCTGAACAATGATTAACAAACTGAAAAAAAAGAGAAATATTTAGTGTTTTTTGTGTGTCAATTGTCTCCAAAGAATAATTGTTGTTCTCAAAGAGACAGAAAAAAAGAGAAATAATTGTTGTTTAGAGGATAAGGTATCAAAACTGACAGCACATATCCAAGTAATCAGTTCTGCTAAATGTGTTACATAAGCATTGGGAAAAATATATAATTAATGAAATGTGGATTCGGATTGTAACTTTTATTTACAGACAAAAGAAATTAAGAGGCTTTATTATATAATTAACAAATAATTGAATAATAATCATTATCAATTTTAATTAGTCACAATTAATTAATTGTCTTTAATGCTGTTACTTTGAATTTTATGTTAAGTGTAAAGATTATAATTTGTATTAAATGAGTTTTGATCAATTTTATTTTAAATTAAATTAATTTATGAGTTTTATTAAGATAGTAATAGCTGTAAAATTCATTAAAAAAACCAGCATTTTATGTTGAAAAATGTTGCACCAATAGAAATGTTTTAGTTGTGAAAGCTGGATTTTCTGTTGTTTTATCACCTGAATCACCTTTTAAATCATTTTTATCATATAAAAATAGTAGATGAGATATTTTACTTCTGATATTTCTCAACAATTTTACTTGAAATCCTTGGGAAAAAAACAACCCTTGCATGTTTTATGGCTTACTTTAGGGATAGCATGCTTTTAATGATTGTCTGAGAGATATTAATAAAAGAATGATGGAAATGCAATATAAATATTACTGTTTTGCTGATTTATTTTACACTAATTACTGTTAGACTTGAAAGCTTAAGTTAATGTGTATTCAATCTCTCTTTACAATATTTTTCACATCTTTTAATGACATAACTCAGCTACAAAGAACTTTGACACTGTATTAACAGTTTGTTTGTACTGTATTGTCATCATTTTTCTTGTTTTATTAACGTATTACAGTATAGTTTTTTAACTCATTCTGATAAATGTTTTAATAAGACAGAAATGTAAATAAAATTAAGAAAATACTCTTGATTTAAAAGTTTTAATGTGTAAAATAATTGGGTTAAATTGTCTTATCAAAAGAATCAAAGACGATTAACTTTTTATGACATGAAACTTGTAAACACAGCTTCTGCTTTATAAGAATCAAATTTCTACTTGTCACCTCTTCAATAGTACTTTGTAGTGAGTAATTTAGTGAAATTTGGATACTTGGTTGGAAATATTTTTTATTGTTTTTGGACTATAGCCAAATGAATGTTTAAATGTTTTTTAATTTCAAAATTTTGCAGAAAGATGTTTAACTCATAATGATGTTTTAGTTACCAAAGACAAGATATGTAATGGAACATATTTAATCCTTATTTTATAGTGTTTAAACATTTAAAAAATGCTATTTTCTGTAAATATTTTTATATAAGATGTTAATACAGACTTATTTAATACTGATAAATGTTATGGAAATCTTCAAAACTTGTTTAAAATTGATTCTGAAAGTTAAATGAGCTAAAGCTGGACTGTGTAATAGTCCATATTTTATTTATTTATCTTACTTACATTTTAATAAATTATGAAATTATTTATTTATATGATTTTATAATTTATTAAACAAAAGATAGGATACAATTTTAAAGAGATTGTGCAAATTATTCATTTGTGTGAATTAAATGCAGCAAAATAGCATTAACCTGTAAAAGTTATGTTAGAATTAATTTAACAGCAAAATACTTTTAATGAATCCTTTGATAAGAGATGTTAATATAAGAATGGTAATGGTATGTGAATACTAATGGTATATGATAAATAAAAATTGAAACTTGAGATGGCTAACTGATAAATACAGAACAACTGTTGATAGAAATAAAGTTCATTATACTGTGAATTGAATCTAAAGAATGAGAAAAGAATTATCATTGATTAAACAGGTTGAGATTGCATTTGTACTTTAGTTTTTTAATTGTACAACGTCAATATTCTAATCTGTGTTAAATCTTTTCATTTGTTGTTTGTGAGAAATTTTTATGAAAACAGTCTTTAATAAGTAGATTTATTTTGATGAATGGGCTATGGCTATTCTAATTTGGAAATATTTAAAGTATAGGAGAAATTATACAGATCTATGAAAGACTAAATAACTGGGACTAACTTATTTATAAAATAACTGGAAGATGAAAGACTCAAATTGCAGACAGTTGTGAAACTGGTATAACATTTTTTAACTGAACTAATTTTATTTAACTCTTTCTAACCTGTTACCAGTGCATCTACTAACTCTTAACGAACCAAAACACGTTTTAGAACCCCTAATTTGAGTTAGCAGTTACCAACATTTTACTAAATTTAAATGTTAGTTTATTATTACAAATGCTTTCACTAGAATTCTTGTAAAATTTATTATTTACATGAGATTTTATTACTACTAATGTTAACGGTTTTGATTTGTTATCCAGAAAGTTCAGCCATCTATGTTGTTTAAAAGAGGATCACTTTAAAGATTTCTTATATATGCTTTGTTTGCTACTGCAAGTACTAATGAGACAGTTTTGTTAGATAAAATCCCATTTATTTACAATCATTTCTTAGAATTTGATGTCTAGTTCCTGTCAGTATAAAAAATTGAAGTGAAGAATAGTTGTGTTTACTACTACTGTTCCACAGTGTAATATAATTTTACATATAGTATGTTGTTCAAAACAGATTTTGTTTTTAAGTAAACAGACCATTTTATTTTATTTACAAGAGCTATATTTGATATATTAAACCAGAAAAATAATTTTGATAAACAAAACTTATATTAGAAAATAAACCATTTTCAAATTATAAATGAGTAAGATTTATTGCTGGATACATTAAAAACACTAATTTCACTGTCATCTCAAGAACTTAAAAGTGTTATATACTTCAATTTTAAGTTAATTAATTATGTATAGTTATAATATGTACTTTATTTTATCATTTAATAATAATAAATACTCACTCCATCTTGCCAAAATTAATTCACTTTAACTTATTGATAATATTTAGTCATTTCCAATTTGTTAATCTTTTTCTCTTAAAGATTTGATGTGTGTAAGGAGTTGAATGATTTGGAAACATGCTAAGTACAACAAAATTTATTGGTAAAAATGAAGAAAAATTCCCATATTTATATTGATGCTTTATTTAAATAAATGAATAACTAGTCCAATTATGCAAAAAAGTGTGTGCTTTGTTAGTTTTAAAGGTGTTCAAAGAAGTTTGTTAAAAGCAAGAAATTCTATGTAAATATATATTGATATATATATATATTTTTTAAAGCAGTCAGAATTTATTTATAACATTATGTATGCATGATCAACGGAAGGTCTTTTTAATGTGTGTAGTATGATGATTGTGATAGCCATTATTACTACTGATTACCCCAATTTCCTAACCAGTTTTAATCATCTATTATTTCAAAGATGATAAACATAATTACTTAATTTTATTAAAGTTTAATCAATATTCATTAGTTATTAATAGCTGTAGACTTCTGTAACATTTAAATACATTATAGATATGTAATAGTATTATGTAGCTAATTTAATCCAGTCTATATTCTGAAGGAATTCTGATTTCTGGCACGATCTTGAGCATGGATGCCCATTTAAAAAAATTGATGCCCATGCCCATGATATTAAAAGAATATACTGTTAAGCCATTCACAAATATATTATTTGAATGTCAAAATTATTCATACTTAAGAATTATTTTAAAATAAAAATGTTAACATCTAAATGCAAATTTATAAAAACCAAAAAGGCAATTGACATTTAAATTAATGTTAGATACTTATTAAAATGTGGTGAATTTGTTAAATCACTAGTTTCCTACTTATACAAATTGCAGATATTTGATACAGAGCTACACAAATTCCCAGTCAAAGCTTTCTTTCCTGTACAGTGTCATATTGAATTTTCCAGGATATTCTCCAGACGTGTGGTTATTGATTCTCTCAGATTTAATTCTGTCTTTCAACTTGTAAAAGTGAGTTTTTCGTTGTTATCCAGGTAGACAAATTTATATAAAATTTCAAAGTTAAGTGGCTATTGTATTTATATATACATACATACATACATAAGGTAGACATTATATATATTGGATGTCTAGCTGATATTTAACTATCATTTTGAATGCTCAATTAGGCTCAAATTATGTACAAAGGTCATTGATCCAATGAGGCTTTATTCCTGTCGTGTCAACAAAATAACATATTTTTGTACTTTATCTGTATCAAGAGGCAGGAATTTAAATACAGACTTGATTTAATTTTGTTTGCCTCTCACTTGGCTAAAATGCATATTGGCAAATGTTTCTAAATGCTAGAAATTAGATCTACATGCATAATATACAAATAAATTTAATGTATTTTAGTGGATTACTTGGTAAATATAAGACAGATTGTCTAATATTTTGAGACAGAATAAATATTTTTAATTTGCAGAGTTAAAATTTCTTTAAGTATTCGTAATTTTAATGCTAAATTTCATTCATTTTTGTTTGTTAATGTTATCAAAAACTACTTAATTATCATTGAAAAGGCTTATCTTTGTTCTCATTGTGATAAATGGCTAATCAGGTTTTGAAATCTGGAAAGAGAAAAGAAATATTGATAAATTTTTTTTGATAAAGTTCTATTTACTTTTAGATTCATTATGGGATTTTAATGCTAGCAATCAAGTTTCTCAAATTTTAATCAAAAGAGGTATATATTGAATCAAGTTGTTTCTTAATGATTCAGTTTAATGTGATAAGAACTGTCAGTTAAGAATTTATACTTAAACAATTAATTTAGGTCTTTGGAGATTTATTTTGCATTTTATTACTTCTCAGAACCAAATTTTAAAGTTTTAATTTAAAAAATATTTAAGATTTATATTAGATAAAGAGCTGTGTTTATTGTACTGAGTCAATAAAGGAAGTTACATTTCAAAAAATGGAATTTTATCTTTCATCATAAAGGAAATTCAGATGGTTTTGTTTTTAAATCCTTGAAGACGTCAAATTAATTGTAGAATTGGTGTTTTCATTATGCTAATTGTGATAAACTCTTCAAAAAGTTAAGAAAATTGTTAGTCTAGAACATAATTTGTACTTTATATACTTGAAGAAAATAATCAAACATTCTTAGGAAGGTAACAAGTTTTATTATTCACTAGAAAAGTGGTTCTCAATCAGTGCCAGAAAACCTTAAAATGCTAAATTTTGTCTGTTTTTTAATATTTGTAACCCTATATTATTTTTTTAATATACAAACTGCAGATTTTTTTGTTTTATTTTGTTTATTTTCAATGTGATACTGCCTTGTTGCAGTGCCACTAAACATTGAGTACAAAACTAGCTGAAAAAGATTGAGAATCACTGGCTTTAAAATACTTTTTTGGTTGCCGTGTAAATATGGAAAATTTTAAGTTCAGATTTTTTGTGCCCATAATCAGTAACATATGAGAAATCCTTCCTCCTTTGTTAAATAATAATAATGCAATAAATATCATATTTTATGACATGTAAGACATAAATTTGTCCAAAATAATCTCAAAAGCATGCCCTGTGTGTTATGTGATCTCCTACAGCAGTGGTTCTTAACTGGTGTTCCGCAAACATAAAGTGTTCCACCAAAATTTGAAAATTTGTGAAAAATTTAAAACAAGTATTAAAATGAAAAAGTAAAAGTCATTGTTTTTAGTTGTATCATCTTTACTTGTACTTATGTAGGCTTTTATCAATTTTTATAACGGATTTCTATTAGAACATGAATCAAATCTGCTTTTGTGTGTAGGTGGAGCCTATGTGCAAACAGTTGAATGACAACAATTGACATGTACAGATGTAACAAAATTATTACAAAAGTTGCTTCTAGCCCTTGATATAATTATATTATCCACAACCGTGAGGCAGATAATAGTGAGGGCTTATCAGACCAATGATGGGCACAAACGCTCAGGGATCAAAGTGAAAACAATTTAATAAACTCAAAAAATTACTACATAAGTGTGAAAACGAAAACCCAAAAAGCATTTCAGACTATTTTTCCAATAGAAAATAGTCCCTCATCAGTTGGTATTAGTTAAAGGTAATAGAATTACACAAGGTAACAGTCAACTTAAAATCTCATCCTAAAGTTATACAATATAAAAATTGAAGACACCACTGTAACAGTATGAGTAGTAAGCATCAGCAGTAGGTATTATCTAAAGTAGATGGCATATTAAAAATTATACAAAGCAAAGGTAAACTTAAAACTATACCTATAACTATACAATATAAAGGTGAAGATGCCATTATAACAGTATGAGCAGTAGACAGGTGTAATAAATCTTCATGACTTTGCATGGTGGAGTGACATACAGGGTGCTGATAGAAAACAGTTATAAGTTAACTTATAACTGTTTTCTATCAGCACCATGTGGTTTTCCAGTACTTACTACACCACAAAACTCCCAAACAAACATGACAGCATACAGACAACAACTACACCATAGATTCACACAACAATATCCTCACCTCACTGTCACCGAACAATGGGTTGTTGATCAAAAAAGAACAATTATACACAATAACCTTATCCCACAAACAATACTTGAACTTATCAAATAACAGGTTGCTGATCAAATATATCAACAGACAGAAACATTTAACATTAACGAAGATCATGTAACTTGTCAGGATAGTCCAGCAGCAAGCATTGATAATAGCACACAAACAACTACCACAACGATATTACAGACACTTCCTCATCCATCACTGATAACATAGACATAGATTTAGTTAATACGCTCTCACTTATATTTCAGGAAACACTCATTAAATATATAGGTACAGATCCCACACACAGACTACGAATACCAAAAATCAACATGTCAAAGGTAGTAGGAAAATTTTGTAAACACTCGCTTACTATCACACTAGAAATTAAATGGATGTAGTCATCCAATTAATTTCTACACTCTCACATATTCATACATTAGTTTATGCTGGGGCAGTTACAGTAGTGACACACCATGGACTGATAATACAATTGCAGACAGATACACACAAAACACAATTCTATCAGAAGTCTGCCTGGCAGAGAAGAATAGAAACACAAATAAATGATTGCAATATATCCTGGAAAGTAGTGTTGACGGAAGAGGGACTTGAGCCCGAAACACGTCTTGGCAAGTAAAAAATTCTCAAATAAAAGTTTGACAGAATTGCCAAGTGTCTGTATAAGCACCTAGTAGTGATAACAAATTATTCACAAATAAATAACATTAGACAGCAATTAGGCAGGCTGACACAATACACTAAAAACAACATAACACCCAAATTAAAGAAACAACTGAAAAACATTTCAAGAAAATCAAAACACACCCAAAACATGAACATTACAGCACACACACTACAGAATACATCGATACACTAAAACAATAACTTGCAGCCAGAGCAAGTAGACTGAAACAATACAAAACATGCACGCTACCAAAACAACAAAATAAATTATTAATATTTAAATTTTCGACTATAAATTCGACTATCTTCTATTATCAGGACTTATTATACTGGTTTTACAGATAATATTACAAAGATTAACAGAAAACAATTTTTATTTTATTTCGTATACCTACCAGGTATACGAAATAAAATATTTCGTATACCTACCAGGTATACGAAATAAAATAAAACTTGTTTTCTGTTAATCTTTGTAATATTATCTGTAAAACCAGTATAATAAGTCCTGATAATAGAAGATAGTCGAATTTATAGTCGAAAATTTACATATTAATAAGGAAAAAAGGACATTGAGGCAATTTAATTAAACAAAATAAATTATTTACAAACAATGAAAAACTCTTACAGACAAATTGGTAACAAAACAAACATATATGCACAGTACAGTGGCACACCAACAGAAGAACTCGCAACTTATTGGTCTTCTATTTGGTCCACTGCTGTTACACACAATGCTGATGCAGGCTGGAACGAGGAGGAGAACAGAAACTTGCACAACATACCAACTATGCCCTGTGCTGAAATAAACGTACACAGCATCCGTTACGCTGTTAACAGAATACACAACTGGAAGATACTTGATGTAGACAACATTTACAATTTCTGATACAAAAAATTTACATCACTGCACCAGGAACGAGCTAAACATCTAGCACACATCATCATGAATCCACAAGACATGCCAAAATTTCTTACTCAGGGCATCACCTACATGAAACCTAAAAACAACACCACAGACCCCACACAATACAGACCAATTACATGTCTTCCAACACTACAAATTATTGACATCCTGTATCGCAAACAAAATATACAAACATGTTGAAGAACACAGAATTCTGGCAATGCATCCACAGACCACAAATACTGGAAAACCATGTGGTTTTCCAGTATTTGTGGTCTGTGGATGCATTGCCACAGAAATACCAAGGCTAAATTGGTTCCTCACATCTGTTGAGGGCATTGCAGTAGGCATGCTTGGGCCAGTGCTGCTTTCTCCACCAGTAATCAAGGGAGATTGTCTGATTCTAGTGGAAAATAGCTCCACAAATGTTTATCTCTGCATTAAATTAAATTGTTTATGGAGCTACTGAAGTCAAATTGTTAAGGAAGAAGATGGAGTTTAAATTCTTAAACTTTTACGTCAGATCTGCTTGATTCGATTTGACATTGGAATTAAGTAGCTGTGAGAATGTTTTTCATTAAATTTAGATGATTCAATCGTCATTCATTATAAACCATCATTTTTAAACTCTCTTCATCAAGTGAAAATTCATTAATCCTGTTCCCTTCATTAAACATAAAATGTAAGTTGTTAAAAATGAGCAGTTTTATATTTATCTATGATAGATACAAGATGCTGAAAAAAGTAAGAAAATTGATAAGTGAAATATTTAACAATTTTTAAACTTATATCAAATTATTTATATTATTGCAAAACTTTCTTCAGATATGAATCCAGACTAAACTGAGATGACATTGTGCAAAGAGTTTGATTTATATTAATCAGTTAATAGTGTGTGAAACGTTAAATCTAGTGACCAGCTTTAAACTAAATTAAAAAATGACAAACTAGTTTTACCAGAATAGTTTTTAAATAGTTTCATCATTTAGAAGTTAGGAATGAAGAAAATATATCAATGCAAAATATTAGTCGCATTACTATTAAATCTGCCCAAACTTCTGATACACTTTCAGGAAGTCCTGTAAGAATAGAATATTTAATGATTAACATTACTTGTGGCTACTTATAAAGGTAAATGTTCCTTCAGTTTTAAGTGAAATTTTTAAGGATATCAAACATATCACTTGGCAAACTTTTTTGTATGATGATCAAAAAAATTGTCTTTAGAGGTGATTATTCTTGATTTAATTCTTAACTGTTCATTTATTATTTTATTCATTTATTATTTGTTTGTGAATCGTAAGTTATCAAATAAATTACAATAAAAAGCCACTCTGCTCCAGTTCACAACAGGTTATGTTGCGTTCCGTTCTCTGTGTTTTAACTCGTCTGAAGTTTTTCTGATTGACAAATATATAAATGCTGTTCATTTCTGAATAATTTGATGTAATGTAGATTCAAATTTAAGTATTACAAAAGTTAATTAGTTAATTAAAAACTAGTTTAGTATGTAAATAAGATATAACTGACAAAATGACATAGTAAAGACTTTTTTGATATATATGCATTAATTATGAATTGCTTTGTAATAATAGAAGATAATTTATTACAGTTTTATCTTATCATCCTGTATTGTGTAATAAAGTGTACTGTACTTGATATTGCTACAAAGTTTAATATTCGTAGATTTATACAAAAAGATGCAAATACAAGTGATATGAATTTATATTTGAAAATATCCGAAATATGCCACATAGTCTTTAAGGAACCTAATTGTGTAATTTCTCCAAATCATAATCATGAGGATAAAGATTTTCATTTCTAGAATGCATCTTTACAACTTTAACCTTTTATTTTAATCTCTAAAATATATTAAAGTTTGTTTTTGAAGGTTAAGTGATATTTTTTATTCATATAATTCTGTCAAATCTATATATTAATATAAAAATTGCCTAATTTGTAATTAATGAATGTAAAAACAACCTTCAAAATGTGTTGAAATCATTAAGGAATTTGTAC